ACTGCAGTCCACTGGTGCCTGGATGAGAACAACTTTTGGGAAAGCAAGGCTATGTGAAATTGAATGGAAAGGTTAGCTTCATCTTTAGCCTACTCTTTTTCCTTCCCACCCCTTCCTCCCTTGCCAGATCTTCTCAGCCTCTTCACCCCGCCTGTTTTCTTTCTACCAATTTGGCCATCTCACCGATGCCTTCCCTTGAGTCATGTCTACATTGCCAGCTTCCCCATATCACTCTCAGATACTTGACAGTCTCCTAAGGCTATTTCACCGGAATTTTTCGAGGCTTTATGCTATGAATGTCTTTTGCTCTTCTATCTCTTCGCCGTAAAGCTTACTGGCCAAGACCAGCATGTTTGAGAGTGCATTTTGGTTTAAGCTCTTCCTGCTTTATGGACTTTTATGGTCTTTCTTTATCTGCTGAGGGTCTATTTCCTTCTTGCTAATCAAAATATTCTGTCATAGCCTTTAAATCGAACATTGAAATCAAAGGATTTACGATTTAATTATGTCTATTACTTCACCCAATAAGATACTCGCTTACATTATCTATATCATCGCATTTTTGGCAATATGCTATCTTTACCTCTCTTGGTTTCTAAATATATATGTTCAGATTAGTTCTTCGAACACTTTAAGACTACCATATATCTTACAATTGGTGGGCTCGTTGCTTTGTTTTAGTTCATGCCTTATTCAATCGCTTCCTTAAAGTTTCTTGTCCACAATCCGACGGTGAAGAGTTTCATGACTTGTATGGTAGGAGAATCGGGACAAGTTGTGCTTATCTGAGCTTCTTCTAAGGCTTGATTAATTTTCGAAAGCCAGTTCTAACCACTTTTATAAACAGATGTTTTGACAATGTTGGTCCGGCCTTGCTTTTGCAACTTGATCGTATCGTCAGGGCGACTGTATGGAATGTACCCAGACGTGTGTCCTCTGCCATGGTATTCGTGCTTTTCAGCATTCGACCTTTGGCTGGGTACCTTCCAAAACAGAAGACCACATCATCTTGGTCTTCATATCCAAGATGTTTTAAAAATTTGGTAAGTGAAACCATTGTATATCGAGTAAACACGCACGGATAGATGGACATTCTTACACCAATTTCATCCAAAACGATGCAAGCCTGAGAACAGTGGTAATCGGCTGTCGTCTTCCACCGAGATCAACGAATCTCTTCAGCATTAATCTTGTCAGGGGTCAAACAACACGAGGCCAAGTGAACGAAAGCTTCCTTTTAATGGCATAGTTGGCCAAAATGCTTACTTAAATCCATACAGATTCTTGCTGTAATGACGATTTTTGCTGGCCTTTCCCAAGATCATAGCTTGATCGGGATTTGGAATCAGATTTATGCAAATACCCCCGTTCATACAGACGTCTTCGCCGAAGTTTGACTTGATCTTGAAATCGGTGCTACACCCGTCCACATTCACACATTGCAGCTCTGTCTGACTCTTCGCACGAAACCCGACGGGGCAAATACCCTCGAATCCGTGGATCAAGCTGGACGCACTCCGCACGCAGGGAAAGGAGGCACAGATCTCTTTAATGGTCTGCATATTGCACGGTTCATTCGGTACCTAACGGAGGCAAAGCGAAAAACCGTAATAAGACACTATTTTGGGGGCACATTACCTGAATTTCGTCCAAACGATAATGCAAGTAGATGTGGGTAGATGTTATTTTTTAGTATGACTAAAGGATACATGGTGGCTTGCTTTACGTAATATGAGATGTATTCATCATATTTCGTTTAAGGTGATGAAGGATTGGTAGTATAATCTGCCCACAATGATATGAGTAGAGCTAGCGTTTC